AAGTTTGCTGTTAAACTTTTTAAGATAAAAACGTAAACGTAATCCGTACACCAAATATATAAAGATAGATTTAGTTGTGACGATTTTCATCATTTGTATACGATTACGTGCTGATGATAATTTATTCCGTTCTTATACACGAATGACTACAATACTTGACGCTACATAAAGAGCGAAGTTGAACATAAGATAACAGCAATACGTAATAAACTTCTACTTCCAATAGTACTCAGGCCTCGTTGATCGTAGAAACATGATTTTAGTATCAAAATAATCACGAGAAGTTGTACTAAATATTCTTGGAACAGATTTTTGATATCTAAATTTGCCGATTTTATATATTTTTTTAAAAAAAAATGAAAATTTTACAAACTTCAAACACAAATAAAATTGGTTAGAAAAAATATTTTAAAATTCTGTTCAAAGAATATTTAGTACAACTTCTAGTAATTATTTTGATACCAAAATCATGTTTATACGATCAACGAGGCCTGAGAACTATTGGAAGTACGAAAGCATGTTTTAGGTTGATTTTTTTCTACTATGACTGCCTCTTAATGACAAATATAACATTAAATATTAGCATACAAATATTTGGCAAATTTCTGTTTTAATAATCCATTAAATAGTAATATAGTTCAAAATTGAGTGTTTAAAAACTAAAAAAAAAAATATAGTCAATAATAATTAAAAACAATTTATTTATTTAGTCAATAACATAATTCTTGTTGTCTTGTTATAAACTGGATTCAATAACATTAAGTTTTTAAATCTGTTGTGGACACTTTTCCATCAGATAAGTAAATTATAAATTTTTATAACGCTTGGACAAGCTTGGTCAATTTTATTACTAAATTTGATTTTCCAACATGGTTTCCTTATTTTTGGTGACATAATGAAATGGATTTTATTTATTAATTCAATTCAGATGCAGCGAGCAAAATACAACATACATTTTTTATGTCTGTTGTTATACTTCACGTTTCTATTTATTAAAATTCTGCATTTAAAAACTATGAATACTAGTAAATAGTAAATAATATTATTGTATTATTTTCTAAGATATTACAAAAATGAACATTTTCAAATTTTACATCAATACTATTGTTTGTTGACAAATATGTATTCTTCTCCTAGTATTATGTTTACTATTCTATGTGTTGGGCACGTCCCGTTTTTCAATAAATTAATAAATATAAATCGGTTTTACATTTGTCATAAGGAAAAATTCTTTGATTTTTAGATTCTGAACTGTGAATATAATGTTGGGTTTACAATAATGAATGTTTCTTTTTACATTTATTTCACATACTACCTGAAAAATAAAATATATATTTTTATTATACCTACCCATATTACTGCATATTATGTATGCATTTAAAATAATTTTTAAGTGTTACCTGAGTACACGGTAATGTAAGAAGATATTTGCAGGCTAATATAACAAATAGTACACAACTAAATAATAATCATGTATAATATATAAACATCTTGTGGTGATTTATTTGTATATATTATATTTTAAATATTTTTTATTATTATTATACTTATATTATTATATAGCTCGTCACGTATACCTGCCGTTGTTCGTTTGGTTGTGCGAAGATATCGATAATTGATAAGCTTTTTTTTTTTATTATTAATTATAAAGTTTTCCTGACAAAATCATTTAAACTTAGTTATATAAAGTACATTTTTTTATTTTTGGCAATTTATAAAAAAGGTATTAACATAATATAATGTAGTAATTAACTAGGTTGAAGATAAGCTACTTTAGGATATCATGGGGACGACCACGTATTAGTCTTCGAATGATGGGGCTGACATTTAACCTGTAATGCTGTGGACCGCTTGCTTTGCGTAGATGACAGAAGAATCTTGCCGATAGGTCCTTAATGTAGTTCTTAATAGTTGGTAAATTGAAGTCGGTGTGCAGGGCATCGTTTCGCACAAACCAAGGGGCATTTGAAATCACACGAAGGACTTTGGATGTAGAACTTGGATTTTATTTATGTGGGTAGGCGCACATTGACCCCAGACCGGGACAGCGTATAGTAATAGAGGACAAATGATTTGTTTGTATAGTAGTAATGAGCACTTCCAGCTCAGTGATGTTTGCCGATTTATTAATGGGTATAAAATTTTTAAACGTTGGTATCCTTGTTGCACTTTAGAGGATATATGTGGGTTCCAGGTAAGTTTTTTTGTCCAGAATGACTCCAAGATATTTAATGTTTTGTGACCATGGTATATTGTGTCCGTTGATTTTTAATGAATTATAATTAGTGGGTCTACGAAGTGAGAAAATGACTGCTGTGCTTTTGGTCGGATTTAGAACGACTTTCCATTTTTGCGCCCATACTTTTATTACGTCGAGATGAGTTTGGATATTTACTATTACATTTTCGATTTTATCGGAACTAGAATAAATGACACTATCGTCCGCATATAAGGCTATTTCCGTGTTCGTTGTTGTAGGAAAATCTGATATGTAAAGGTTAAAAAGTATTGGAGATAATTTTGAGCCTTGTGGTACTCCTGCAATAATTTGTTCGAAGTCTGAGTTTGTGCAATCTATTTGAACGGTAAAACTACGAGAGTGGAGAAAAGATTTGATGATGTCGAAGATTACAGTGGGTGTGTTAAGACATTTTAATTTATAAAGTAGTCCGTCATGCCAGACCTTGTCGAACGCTTTAGCTATGTCAAGAAAGGCCACTCCAGTATGTTCTTTTGTTTCGAATCCGTTGCTTATGTGCTCTGTAATACGTAGTAGTTGCTGAATTGTGGAATGGTTTGGTTTAAAACCAAATTGGCAGTGAGGAATTGCATCAGTTGCATTTAAATGACTAATAAGTCTGGTGTGAATAATTTTTTCGAAGATTTTTGAGACAGACGATAGTAAGCTGATGGGCCTGTAATTGTTTGGATCAGTATTGTCTTTGCCAGGTTTTTTAATCATAATTATAGTGGCCAATTTCCAATTAGTGGGAAAGTAGCTCAATTTTAACAGGGCATTGAATAGCGCTGTCATAAATAGAACTGCTTTATGGAGTAGTTTTTTTAATATAGAGTTGGTAATTAGGTCATGACCGGGTGATTTACGGTTTGGTAATTTCTTTATTATTTCTGAAATTTCTGTTGGGTTAGTGTATGGAAAAATGTTTTGTGGTAAAATTTCAGGTTCGCTTAGTTTCTGAGACACCAAATTAATAGTTGCACTATCATTTAAGTCGCTAAATGTGAATGTATTTTCGAAAGTGGTAGCAAACAAATTGCATTTTTCATATACTGTATTTATAAAGTTGTTTCCAGATTTTAGAGGCGGGATTTTGTTGTCATTGGACTTGATTAATCTTTTGGACCCGGACGATCGACGCGGTATTGCACAAGCTTTACAATTAGTGTAGTCGCGAACGCGGAGTGAATTATGTAACATTTTCGTTACCCGGTGAAATATAGTTCAATCTTGACAATATTTATATATATATTACTTTATTATTTAAATTATATTTTTTTCATACGCTCCCGCGCGAAAGTACCCTTTAACTGTTTGTTGCGCCACAGTTCAGGTATGGGGTATATACGAAAATTGTGCGATAAATCGGTTGTGTGTGTGCGCTATACTTGATTCAACACGTTTTTTTTTCTCTTTTATATATTTATATAGTATTAAGTGTTAGGATTACGCGAGTGTGGTTTTTGGGTGAATATTATTAACGTATAATATTTTTACCAATCGTAATATTTCATATTGTGTGTGTACAAAGGCCAGGCTAAAATTAGCTGGGGATGTTCGACGATGTGTTCGATAATTATCCGTTATCGGCGAGTGGCTCAACGGAGTGAGTTGTTGGTCGTGCTATATATATATTTAATTGCTCGTAGTGTTGGACTTTTCGCGTGTGCGTGATGGCTGAAAGTAATAGATATGATGATAGCGATACAACGACACAACTGTTTGAACGCGGAACACCTTTTGCCGCCATTGAGCTTGCGCGGGACACCACAAACGCGACCAATATACAAGCTCCTGGCAAGCTCCTCCTCCGCCATCCGGCGACAACTCGCCGACCGGTAGTCAAGCGATCAGCCGCCTAGTAATTCAATTTTCTGTCTGTCTTTTCCCAACGGTCGAGTCGGACGCATCGTGGCGTTCGCTCACCAATTTCATCACATTATATTTTTATTCAAACCTCGTGTGGTTCACGAGGTGTGAAACATTGAACGTGTTGTTCCTATGGATCCTGCTGCTGTTGCCACCAGGTCATAATTATTATTTCTATACTTCTGGGTGTGCAGTAGCCACTAATTATTATAAATATATATATATTGTCATTCCGTGGTGTCGCGGCCTTTCTTTGAAAACTATTCTGATTATTGTTATTATTATACATATTATATACATATACCCAAGGTACAGTCCAGCGCCCGCATGCGGTTTCTGTATTATTATAATATATATGTTGTTATTACTTTTGGTAATGTAATTCAAAGTCTACGCGAGTCGCGGCAAACAACTGCTTTACATCGCAAGATTTGTCGCGGCGACCAATCAACAACACCGACGATACTTGGTGAATATAGCGACGGTGGTGCCGGAATTTGACCCCATGCACGGTCAGGACCGTCCCGAAAGACAAATCATGGGGGGGGGGGGCTTGATTCATTAATTTGCCAACTCAAAAAAAAAAAATTTTCTCGCTCCGCTCGAATTATAATTATTATTATTCATTTATTAACATACATCTCAATAACTCATAAACATAGGCATACATATTATACACTATTCAATACCTATTTATTGCTCTTCACCAGTACATAGTCACTATACCTAGTCAAATAAATTTTTGGATATTGGTCAGCATTACCAAAAATAGGTACCTACACAAGATTAGATAAAATAAAAACTTAAAACATACAATTTTATAAGTATTTAATCACTAATAATAAATTAATAAATATGCATGTATCACAATAAATAATAATATATACAATTTTTAAAATTGAATTCTTCTTTGTTTTATATTGAACCACTGTGTTGCTATTTTACTTAAATCAACTGTATCTAAAATATCTTTTTCAATACTTAACAGCATTAGGGAATCTAATCTATTGTCTGTCATTGTAGATCTTAAATGATTTTTTATCAGTTTAAGTTTGCTAAATGTCCGTTCATTAGTAGCTACACTTACCGGTGCAGTTAATGCTAATCGACAAATATTATTAGCTAATGGTAGGATATGTTTAACTTCTTCACATTTTTCATTCATACTGAGAAAATTTGTTGTCATACTCAAATCTTTGCATATTTCTTTTAATATTTCCAATTCAGTTTGAATGGCATCAATATCCTTGCACTTTGCAAAATCACTGTTAGAAGGAAATATTAACAAAGCATTTTGTATATTTTCAATGCTCATATTTTCATTCCTGAATGGAAATGAGAATATTTTATACAGTGGCATTATTGTATCAATAAATACTTTTAAATTGTCTTTAGACAAATTAATAAGTGTAGACAGTATACATTTGAACTCTTTTTTTGTAAAATATATGAAAAGTTAAATCAGCTTGAGTACCAGCATTTTCGTCCAACCAAGTGGGCTATTTTCTTGTACGGTGATGAACTTTAAAATCAGATTCTGAATCTATACCAAGATTTGCTGCGAACAAGGTTGCGCTGTCAATCAGATCATTTATTCTTTCTGAATCTGAATTCATATCTTCTACATTTTTAATTGTAGCCTCTATTAAAACAGCAGCATCAATTACACATAAACTTTTTGTTTCTAATGTCTCGGTTAGTGATTTCAATTTATACATTATATTTTTCATAAATACCAAGGAGACAATGAAGTCAAATGAATGCATCTTTTTATTAATGCCAAATGCTTTTGTCCTAGTATTTCTATCGAATATCTCAGGATGTGAACAAATATATTGTAAAGTGTTACATATAGCTTCATATGAAGCCCAAACAGCTTTAATGGACTCTGCACGGGCTGTCCATCTTGTTTTGGATAAGTTTCTTAGTTGTAATGTATTATCAACATTGTTCATTTGCTTATTCAATACACTATACCTTTTATTACTAGCTGAAAAAAATACATAAAGGTTTTCCAAGTTATCAATCATATCTGACACAATTAAACTAGAATTACATGCATGTTCCAAAAATGTGTTCATCCGATGCGCTTGACATGGAATATAAAAAACACTATGACCAACTAGTTCTGAAAGCTTAGCTTGTGTACCGTTAAACTGCCCAGACATGTTACTAGCATAATCATATGACTGAAATACCAAATTATCTGTTCCTAAAGAATGTTTAGTTAAAATTTCAATTATCTGTTTAGCTGTTCCTAAGCCAGTTTTGTCTACTCCTTCAGCTATTTCTAAAAACCTTTCAATTGCTTTTCCATTGTTATTAACATAACGCAAACAAACTGCCAATCGATCCTTTTGAGAATTATCGGGGGTTGTATCAGCCATGACTGAAAATAAGCCTGCTTCCTGGACTTCTTTCACAATAATTCTTCTTACTTCATTACTTAGAATATCAATAAACTCATTTTGCGAACGGGGGCCTAAATATGTGACATTGTAAGATCTTGATGATTTTTCATTTATCCAACGGTTCATTAAGGGATTGTGCCTAGAGATAAGTTGAACCATTTGATTAAAATTACCACTAGATTCGTCACCATCTCCACGAAAAGACAACCCTTGCCTACACAATGTCCGTGCTATATCAAATAAAATTATAATTATTTGTTTATTAAATTCTTTTTCTTGTACTAGTTTGATGGTTTCTTGTCTTTTTGATCTATTCATAATAATGTCAATATGATTTGACTCTTTCATAGAGTTGCGGTAATCATTTAAAACTGCTTTGTGTGATAAAGAATTAAAATGCTGTTCCAACTTGCCTAATTTTGCTTTTCCTCGACTTTTCATTTTTTGCCATGTATTAACACCTTGCTTTACCCATGCTTCATTTGAAAACTGTCTTCCTAACCCTTTTGGAAATAATGAGCACACAAAACAATATGCTGAATCAGTAATCAAACTATACTCTAGCATAGGATATTCTTTTAACCAAATAGGATTAAAACTTTTTTGTTTTGATGGATCAATATCACTGTTGATTGGATATTTTAAAAGTTTAGGTTGGTGTGGACCCAATGATAAAAGATATTGCCTTTGTGAAGAAGAAGTAATATCACACCGCCGCCCTGGATCATGTTCAACAAAATAATTTGGTTTAGAAACTGATTGTATATGGTCAGACGGATCTGATAAGTTGTCTAATACTACTTTGGCATTTTTTAAAAAACATTCTGATTTCAATTTTATTCTATTAATCACTTGTTGACTTTCTAACATAAACATAATTGGATTTGGCAATGTGTCTTCTTTCAATTTTGACAGCAAAGTATTATACTCATTTAAATTTGATACTAAGTCCTCCATTTGGCCAGCACATAACAACCATGATATTTCTTCAGAATTTTCATCAATATGATGTTCAATAACTTGTTGAAAATTCTAAAAAATATATATATGTATGTAATATACCAATACTATTGAGTATTAATAAAACTAGTACCTATTATTATATTTTATATGAAATAAACTAAATTTGAATACATTTTAATATAATTTAAAAAAAACATTGGTTATGCTCATTTAGCAGTTACTAGTCCTAAAACATTTTTGATTTTTGATTCATTCATAACACTTCTACAATATATTTAAACAAAAATATATTTTGGTATTTTTATGCATTGTGAATGGGCATTATGCATTATTAGATATAAATGTAAAATTATAAATAATAAATCCATTACTAATTACCTAACAATTTATTTAATTATTAAAATTTTAAAAATTTTAAATTTAATTATTAAAATAATAAGTACCTACCTCAGATTTAGAATCAACATTATCTTTTTGAACCGATTTATCTTTAGATAGTTTTTCATCATTATTATTAATGACTGATGAGTTTGAAGAGTCATTTTTCTAAAATAAAGTACAACAAATTAAAATACCTTATTAGGATTTATTAGATATATTTTTATGAAAATGGTTTTTTTTTATGAATTTTTAGTTCAAAAAAAGCAAATATTTTTAGTATTTAAGCTATAAATTATAATATTATTATATTTATACTTGTATGAGTTGTATGCAATATGAATGGATATTAGATATAAATATACAATCATATTATATGATGTAATAATAGTAATAAATAATAATTAATAAAATATAGGTATGTTCAATGTTCATTAGGTATACCAATTAATGATCAATTTGATTTGTTTAAATATCAATAACAATATTAACAATACCTCAGATTTAGAATCAACATTATCTTTTTGAACAGTAGAGTCTGATTTATCTTTAGATAGTTTTTCAACATCATTATAACTGACTGATGAGCTTGAACACTCATTTTCCTAACATGGAAAATATGAGAAATTAAAATAATTTGTGTTTATTACGATATATTTTTGTTATAATGATTTTATGAATGTTTAATATAACACAAGCTTACCTGTTACTGAGTTGCCTATTAAATATTAGCGATAAATCATAATTTATAATATGCTAATAAAAGTACTTAGGTTCATTTTTTTTCAAGGCATACCTAATTATAAATATTTATTACAAAAAATATCAAGTATAATAAACGACTTACCGGTATCATTACCCGTTTATTTAAATTCCGTGTAGCTGCTGCACTTTCGAACGGATTTTTTGGTGCGCCTACATGTTTAATATTTACTCGTTTTCCACGATGTAATTTTTCCTCGTGTTTTTTTTTTTGAAATCTCCATTAAATTGACTGCCACATTCTAAACATTCAACTTTAACACGTTTTCTTTTTCTTTTATTATTAACTTCACTCATTTTTGTTGAACAAAATAAAACATAAATAATAAATATTAAATATGTTTATGCGCAGAGGGCCAGTGACGGAGTGTAGTTAACATGTATTGTGATTGTGATTATGATTCCTGATTAGGGTAATATAATTAAAAATACGCTGCAAATAGTATAAACGTTGTTATAAATAAAATTATCTGTATAAATAACATACATTATAGTATATACATATTTTTATACGAACTATACGGGCATACGGCTATATAGTTGTTCAAACTCGGTTGACTTCCCGCCGAATTGTATACCTGACGTCATCGCCAAAGGCTTTATAAGTCGCAGGCGATCGGTACGGAATGTCCGCGACAGTCATCCCCCCTCTACGCAATCTCGGCAGTCCGATGTCCACTGCAACTTTGGCACGGTCATCGCGTCCTTGTCTTTTGCCAATGGCCGAACCAGCCGGATCTAAGTGTTCGCTGGTCGTCCCATTTTGTGTTCGTTGTGGCAAAAATTTACGTATGTTTGCGTTGCCGTGCTGGTGGTCATACGCCTAAAATCAATTTGCATCTGGCGTCGCCGCGCGTGAAAAGCGCTCGAAATTATTATATTTTTCGTGTGCGTCGTGTACCGTGCCATCCGAGGAAACACGTGTTGAAACGAGCTCTTTTGTGTGTTGTCGCCACAGAATCTCGCACGGTGTTTTTTCGTCACCGGGTGTGACGCGGCCTTTCATTTTCAACATCATCATTGTTCCAGCGTTCCGGACCACAAGGCAGGGCTCGAGCGGGTCGGTATCGTAAAAATATCTTTTATTATAATTATGATGTCCTATGTTATATTATTTAGTGTAATTGTATACAAATAATTATTATTATTATATTTGGCGCCCAGCGTCCCTCTGTCTTATTATAATACATTGTTCTAATATTCATTATCATAGGTGATCCTCCTCCCGCTCACAACATTACGCGAGTCGTTACCGCTAACCGCGATAGTTAAAGTAGGAGCGGTTCGGCGCACACAATAGTAATATATACTAATAAAGACACAGACGGTTGACGACGGTGACGTCGGATACCGGCTCAATAATACATACCCAATCTATTTTTATCACGCTTTATCGCTAAAGAAAGTATTAGTATATTATTCTTATAACATATTCTTCATACGTTAAAAATAATAATTTAATATCATTAATAGAAAATAATGATTTTTTTGTATTTTTGTTTTTGTCAAATAAAATATTAATAATAATATTTTAATATATTATTAAATGTCGTTAAATTGCCGACTCGGTAGCTCAATATCAAATGTGCCGACTGACCAAGTAGTGGGGGGTGTCACCCCCCCACCACCACCACCCTAGGGACGGCCCTGTGCATGGTGCACTGGATTGATAAAGTTGAAGAATATGCTACTCTTTACGAGTGGGATGACGTTGCGATTCAACATTTCGTATTAACTAAACTCGCGGGAGTGGCTTGACTGTGAAGAGACAGTCTACCAAGGGAGGAACAAACGTGGTTAC